ACTTTCAACTAGGGAGCCACAAAAGCTAAGCGGCTGAAATTTTAGTGTAGTGTTCCCCGCCAATGGGTGACGCGGCAAATTTAAATTCAGCCTTCCCGTACCCGCGAGTAACACGCACGGCCCCGTAAAGTTTTTCTGGTAAAATCAGTATCTCGGGAACCACGGAAGGTAGAAGGCTGAAATTTTGTGAGTACATCCCCTGTCTATATGCTACCCAGAAAATTTAAATTCAGCTTTCCTCTGCCCGCGGGCAACATGTACGGCCCTGCGGAAATTTTTGCCGGGTAAATTATTATCTCGGGAACCACGGAGCCTAGGCAGCTGAAATTTTAAAACAATGACCCCCTACCCACGCTCAACCTTGCCTATTCAAATTCAGCGCTTCCGCGCTCTCGGGTATCACCTACGGGCTAGTGAAAGTTTTTGCGGGTAAATTATTATCTCAGGAACCACAAACTCTACGAAGCTGGAATTTTAGGATTGCGACTCCTTGACTACGAACGATCTTGCAAATACATATTCAGCATTCCTGGGCCCTCGGGTATCACCTACGGGCTAGTGAAACTTTTTGCGGGTAAATTATTATCTCGGGAACCACGGAGTGTAGGAAACTGAAATTTTAAGGTAACTACCCTAAATCCAAGGCCCACGTTCAACCCTGCCTATTCAAATCCAGCGTCCCCGTGCTGTCGGGTATCACCTACTCCCTCGTAAAAATTTTGGCGGGTAAACTATTAACTGGGAAATCACGGAAAGATATTCGCCCTTCAAGGTTTCGAATTCAGCTTTCATGCGAAGGTGCGTGAAATTTCTAACTATTTTTCAACGTTTCAATTACTTTTGTGTAGACTAAAGTACAAAGTGGTGAAAATCATTAATAGGCAATCGTTCGATGGGTTGAATTGCACAAATTGCATGATCGCACCGGCCAGTCTGGGGCGCATTGCTGCGTATTATGCGTTTTTACTGTGCAGCGCTATAGCGCTGCTACAGCCGGCAGAAACGCGTATTGTCGAGATGTCGTCTGTGTGTGTGTGTGTGTGGGTGTTCGGAAGCGAGTGAATTTTATCACCCACTTTTATCTCAGCAACCAGGAAAGCTGGAGGGCTGAAATTCTGGTTGTAGGTTCCAACCCCATATGTCACCCTCCTGTTTTAAAATCTCCCACACAAGCCTAGATCCCGCGTACGGACATCCGAAAGAAATATACAAACCTCTTTGTAGGGAAAAGATTTTGCAAACCAGGCAAAGTACGAAGCAAACTTTGCAGGGATGTTCTCTGTGCATGTGCGAGCTAAAGTTTTCAAATTCTGTTGTCGCGCACGCTTTTGCAACGCGTACGATCACGTCAAAGTTTACAAATTGGTACTGTGCTGACTCGAAAACTTGCCGGAAAACAGTGTCTGAAATTTTGTAAGCATACATGTCGTCCGCATTAGAAACCCTCTACCTAAAATGAGTACCGAGTTGCATTTGTGCCACGACTTAGGACACTTCAAAGGTATTTGTGGCGAAGTGGATATTTCGGTTACTGGATGGGGTGTGAGGCTGAAACCTAGCTGGAATATTCTACTTTTAAATGCGATATTAATTCTGCTTCGAGGTGAAATTCCTTACAGGTGGGCTTGAGAAATACTCGACTTTACTGAAAAACTAGAAGGGAGTGCGTTTTGCAGCGAACGAGCGCCCCCATCCAAACATGCAAAATAAACATTCAATTCATTTGTATACTTGGATTTTTTGGTGAACGACCGCTCGAGCAACACCTTCAGTTTTTAGTGAGCTGGAAATTTGCATTTTTTTCAAAAAATTTTCATTTTTATGCGTTTTTGCTCTGCAGCGCTATAGCGCTGCTACAGCCAGCAAAAACGCATATTGTCGAGAGGCTGTCTGTGTGTGTGGTACTCGCGTGCGAGTGCAGTTTGTCATCCACTTTCATCTCAACAACAGGAAATCTGGGGGGCTGAAACTTCGGATATATGTTCCTACCCCGTGTGTCATCCTCCCGTTTTGGGGGGCTGAAACTTCGGATATATGTTCCTACCCCGTGTGTCATCCTCCCGTTTTAAGATCTTCCCCATACGCGCCTAAACCCCGCGCACGAGACCCCCAAAGGAATTTGTATTGAAAAACTGTTTCGCGAACCGTACGTGCCTAAACCCCGCGCACGAGACCCCCAAAGGAATTTGTTGGCGAAAAACCGTTTCGCGAACCGCCTAAACCCCGCGCACGAGACCCCTAAAGGAATTTGTAGGCGGAAAACTGTTTCGCGAACCAGTACGCGCCTAAACCCTGCGCACGAGGCCCCCAAAGAAATTTGTTGGCGGGAAACGATTTTGCGAACCAGGCAACGTAGAAGGCTGAAACTTTGCA